AATTGGTCCCCAAAATATCTTTAGAGAGGTTATTGCGCAAGAGGTAGTGATCTTAAATCATTTCATGTGAGGCGCACATGGTGGATTCCGTTGTATATACTTATCGCAAGAGGTGCTGATAAGGCTTATGTTTGGAATCTATAATTGCGCAAGCTGTGGTCAATTTTTTTTTCGTTAATTTGCTTCTTGTAAGATTCTTGCTCCTTGTAAGATTCATCTGCGCTAGTTGGGCGCATTAAGAATGAACGCAAATTGGTCACCAAAAATATCTTTAGAGAGGTTATTGCGCAAGAGGTAGTGATCTTAAATCATTTCATGAGAGGCGCACATGGTGGATTCCATTGTATATACTTATCACAAGAGGGGCTGATATGGCTTATGTTTGGAATCTATAATTGCGCAAGCTGTGGCCATTTTTTTTAAAATCGATCACTTATTTTGAGATGATGGGATGTTTGACACTATTATGGTTTCTGTCATAATGATTAGCAAATGATGATGTCAGCAGGCAAGATTGGCTCACTCACACGAACAATCGCCCTTGGCGCTTAGGAGCGAGCAAGGTTGAGACTAGTGGCTTATTTTTTATTTGGAGCCAAGAGAGGCTAAATAATCCACTATATATTTCGCCTTGGCTACAACCAAGATGAGGTCGTGTTAAGGACCAAACATGGATGATAGTACCCACTTTCCATGTTGTGCCTGTTATGATTAGCCAGATGCGAGATCTCATTTGGCGCCGACTGGTGGTTTACTTTTATTTGGAGCCAAGAGAGGCTTAAATCATCCACTATGTATGTCGCCTTGGTTATAACCAAGATGAGGTCGTGTTAAGGACCAAACATGGATGTTAGTACCCACTTTCCATGTTGTGCCTGTTATGATTAGCCAGATGCGAGATCTCATTTGGCGCCTAGAAGGCGAGCAAATAGAGAATTCGGGTTAGGCGCTAGAAAGCGACTAGACTAATATCTGTACGGTGTATCGAGTATGACGTCACTCTTTATGGAAGAGTTACTCCACCGTAGCATGTATTCATACTATATGTGCTTGGCGGCCGAGTAATGAGGTGAGAAAATGGATCCCCGCTTCCTCATCGTGTGAGTCTTACGTGTCATTATTGATATGACTTTCATTTATGTACCCTTTTGTGACTTTTGACTATGTCATAAGGTAAGGGGTTGATGTTCTGCTACTTTGGTATGTTGCCTGCGGTCATGCATGATTCGGCCTTAAGGGACATCACTGGGAAAGCGGTCAATCCTAAACTAAATGGCATGAGTGCAAAGGGAAGATCATCTAGTATTACACCACTGTTGTATATTCACTACCGGCAACTCACATCGTTCTGTATCAGACGTGGATTGAGTGTGAATATATTGCAAGAATTGAGAGGGTCAAACATGCTCTTTTTTGAGAGATTAGAGATGTTTTTTGGACCGGTGTAATTAGATGGGTCTGGGGTATATGAGACACTATTTCTTTTCTTTTTGGGTTGATGTCTCTATGCTGGCTAATTTTGAGTTTCTAGTATAGAGCTCCCACACGCAGGTGTTCTCAGCGGTCGCACGGTGCATTGGCTAGTATGAGATTGTTCAAATGTCGTTAAAAATAATTTTTTGTGATGATTTTATGCATATGTAGCTAAAAAGTGATAATTAGAGACTTTTTTTTGTCATAATTTTTATAAATTGTTACTCAAACTTACAATTAGTGACATTTTTCTGTGATGAATTTTTCAAACCATTGCTGAAAGTTAAAAAATAGTGACTTTTTTTGTGATGATTTTGTAAAACTGTCGCTAAAACTTATCAATAGTGACATTTTTTGTGACAATTCTCAAACTGTCGTTGAAAGTTAACAATTAGTGACATTTTTTAATAATGTTTTTGGTTTGAATTTTCAGGATTCACTTTTCAAAAAATTGAAATTTTTTGTTATTTTGTTATTTTTTTTTTGTTTTCACTGATGTTTTTAATATTTTAAACAATTTGTTTTTAATTTTTAGATATACCTAACATAAGTACACTTAAAAAGTATAATATTTGTGAAAAAAATCTTTAGAAAATTCTCTAAATGCTAAAACTACAAAAAAATAAGAGAATTCAGTACATTTGTAGTATTTTTGTGTATTTATTGACTTTTTAAAATATTTTTTTTTACAAATATTTTACTATTTAGATACATCTAAATAAGGTGCATCTAAAAAGGTAAAAAAATTGCTTAAATATTTAAAAATATTCACTAAAAACAAAAAAATATGAAAAATAAAAAACTCAATTTTCAAATTTTTTTTTAAAAAAAACACAGTGATTAATTCTCACAATACCTATTTGACAATAAATTCACTTATTGGGACCTACATATAAGTTTTTGAAAAAAAAATCTCAATAAAAATTTTTCGTCATTAAAAACAGAATATCTTATCTTCATAGAAGTATATCAAGGGTTGATATTCATTTCTGTATCAAAAAAATGGTTGATATTCATTCAATCAAGATATTTTGAAAGCAAGAAAATGATGAAAGGCTTATAGTTTTATCCTTTGTATGAAGCTAATTATACAGTGTGCATCAGTTTTTAATTTTATTTTTTCATACAAACAAAACAAAACAAAAAATGCCAAATTTTTTCTTAATTGAAAAAATATATATATATATATATATAAACTAAAAAAGTAGAAATTAAAAAATTATAGGAAAAAAATAAAAAATCCCAAGTTCCAGTTCTGTCCTCAGAGCATCAAACTCAAGCCAGTTTGAGATTCCTAGTGTTTGAACTTTGGATTTAGTTTTTTGTTTTCTTCATAGCAACCGACAAGGCATATAGCAAAAATTAACAGGAATATTCTTTTAACCTGCAATTCCTTGGTGCAGACAAATTGGTTCTTATAAAAATTGAATTTGAACCACTGCATATATATATTCTTCTGTTTGTTTTAAAAATAAGAATATGGTTGTGATGTAATGGTTTAGATGATTACTATCATTTATGAAAAAACTAAAACCCTTGAGATATTAATTTGTGATTATATTTTAATTTTAAATAATGAATAGTAATTCCAATAAAACAATGAACAATAAATCGTTACAACGATTTAACGTGGAAAAAATCACGATTGAAACACCTCCAATTGTCATAAAAAAATGACGGGCCAAAGCCACAAAACAATCCACTAAGAAAACAAATGAATTATACACAAGAACTCTTAATTACTTAGCGAATCCACGTCCGAATTGAATCAAACCCGATGTGTTTCTTCCACCACCGTCTTTACCTCGGAATTGCTTTGTTCAACGTTGAATCCATTACGCCAATGTCGAATCCATGATGATGAGTCACTCCCGAATCCACCAAAGTTTCAGGTCCAAGTTTCTCGGAATCCACCGATGAATACCTCTCTCTTTTGTGAATGAAAAAATAAAATTAAAATCAACCCTTAATGTTTGTCTATAGGTAATTCATTGATTAATCAATCACCTTCTATACATCAAAGAAATTCATACAAACCATCCTCCAATATGGAACACTTTATATTTTACTCCTCTTTGAGAATCTAGACGGGTTGAATCCTAAAAATAGCAAACGGCTCACTTTATACTAAACAGAGCCACGAAGATTGCTCGAGCCACCACTTTACTGCTCGAGCGATGTGAGTAAAGGTGGTGCAAACATATAGGCCAATCACTCGAGCGCAACATCTACCGCTCAAACGGTAAAACATGTTTCTTAGAGGTTCAATTTGCAGGCAGAGATACCGGATGAACCATTTCACCGCTCGAGCGCATAAATGACTGCTCGAGCAGTCAAACAACTTTGACTTTTTCGATCTCCGTATATAGCCAGCGAAGTGGCAAATAAGAAATGCTCAAGATATAAAATGTTAGCACAAACTTTTCTACATAAGCACAATTTGGGTTAAATTCGCATCTAAACATTCACAACCTCATTGAAACAAAAAACTGAATAAATATATAACTATTTTTTTTTTTGTTAAACGAGATTATTAATTACAAAAATCTAACTACTTATCGATTATTATAATACCGTGACGAAATTCTCAACTACAATGGCTCCGATGGTTATGTTTATTATTTTTTATAAGCAAAAAAAATGAAATTTATTAATAGACGAAAAGATACAACTCAAAAGGCAAGGGCAATACTCTAATCATTGTCAATACATCACATCCATGCTAAGTTGACTCTCATTATTATGTCCTATTATGCAATCTCACCCTATAGGTTTATTGATGTATAATCTTTCTTCGTTTTATAATAAATAAAATCCTTTTTGTTTTTGCCGATCCTTTATCGTCAACACCATTATGATTGTTATGCTTCTGTTTGCTGTAGAATATATATATATATATATATGGCCATTTATTTTTCTCATTTACCTTTTCAACTGTTAATTGAGAGGATCAATTTCACCGTCCATTTATGGGGGTCTCAATTGAAAAAGCAAAGTTATGTATAGACTGATTGCAAGAAATTATTTGCACTTAGGACGTTTTGAACTTGAGACATTGGAGAACACCTCCAAACTCCTAACCTTTATCATTAGGCCAATTCCTCCAGATTATATTCAAGATATGATACAAATAATAAATTTACCCATCAATCTAATAACTTAAACTTTTAAATGAGTTGCTAACAATCTAGTACTTTATATAAAAAAGAATTCCTCTCTTTCTTTTCTTGTAATTGTCACAAAATATATATGTAAATCACATTTTCAATTCTTATAGTGACTTAAATTTTACTTTAGTTCTTATTATTTCAAAATGAACAATTTAATCTCCACAATTTAAATTTAGTTTTAATTTGGTTATTCACTTCAAGTTAGAAGTTAAAATTAAACGCTTTTGGACATTTATTAATCTCTTGAGGTACACATGTAGACAAATAAAGATTTAAATTTGAATGGAAAGACAAATTAAAACTAAACTCAAAGTGTAGAGACTAGATTGTTTAATTTGAAATAATAGGGACCGAAATAAAATTTGGATCAAACTACATGAATAAAAAGTGTAATTTATAAAAAGAAAAAAAAAAAAATCCTCTTTCTGCTTATATAAAGAGAAGACAGTGCATGGAAGGCCACTGCTCATACAACTAGAGAGAGAGAGAGAGAGAGAGATGGCAACATTGTGTTTAGCTCCTCAGGTAAAAGGATCTGTTCATAAGCAACCAATTCCCCACAGAATTGGTGAGCTCAAGACCTCACTATCCTGTACTGTCAAGGTATATTTTCCATTTTTTTTTGTTTATCAAACCTTGTTCCCTTGTGCTCTTTTTGCACATCAATAAATTTTATTTTGCTGACAAAAATAAAAAATAAAACCTTGTTACCTGGTGATGTTTTTATCTCTATCTATAAAATATTACTTCTTTTTTCCGAGTGAAAAAAAAGAAGAAGAAAACTCATTTTGTTTTGATACTGTTGGTGTATATTTGCGCAGCCATTCATACAAGAGTTGGAGAAAATACCAATGATGATTAATGTTTCCAAAACCATCAAGAGTGCAACCCTCAGAATATTGGATGCCTTCGTCGATTCAATCTTTCAATTTGTCGATCAACCAGTTCTCCCATCTCAGGTATAAGCATGGTTTTAAACATGGATCAGTGAGTATTGGGTTTTTAGGTTTACCCTTCTAATACCGATACATCCCAATATATTGATAAGAATGAAAATTACATACGTATCAGTCAGTTCGCATTGCGTATAGTTTCATAATCAGTATGGTTGGTTTGATTGTTACAAAACTGTTTCGATTCAGCTTATGATACTGTTATTTAAAACCTCAGAGTTTGATAGTTAATGTGTTTTCTGTTATGTTTTCAATTACTGAAAACAACAAAACAAAAAAACAAAAAGATTACTACATTTAACTTGTTTGCCAAATTATTTTTGCAAACTGTTTTGACAAATTTTTTTGAAAATAATCCACATTTTAGAAAATAACAACAATTGTTATTGAATTTTTGAAAACTAATATACGTATAAAAATAAAATGATATTAACGTAATAAAATACCACACAAAAGTAGATATCATTCCAATAAATAAAAATAGGTTTTTTTTTTTTTTTATGAGAAGAAAACATTGAATTTATAAGGAAGAAAATCACATACTGGTGGGAATGAAAATCACATATGTATTAACCAGTTCACGTTACGTGTAGTTTCGTAATCAATATAGCCAAGTTGAATATTATTAGGGGTGCAAATTTGACCCAACCTGGCCCATAAGAGAAAAAAAAATCTAGGCCCAGGCCCAGTCACAAGCCCACTCAAAATAGGGCCGTAGGCCTGGGCTCGAGCTCAGGCCGCGGGTCGGGCTTGGCAGACCCTTTTTTTTTTTTGCAAAAAATAATAAATAGATATATTATATATATAGATAATTTATGAGGGATAAAAATATATATATACACTATAGTATTTTAATTATAATATGAGATATTTGGTTATAGTTCATGTGATATTCAGTTATGCCTTACGTTTTTGTAGTTATAATTACAAAAGTATGAAATTATACAAATTTTTTCTTTAGTTATAAGCCACGTACATAGTCTTTCTTGGAAAAAAATAAAATGAAATGAATAATTTTATATATATCAAAATGAAACAAAATACTACAATCATTAAATTAAATAGATAACATTTAATGAATAATTTTTATTTTAAAATGAAATAAAATATTACAAAAATTTTTGGGCCAATCATGCCGGGTTCACGGGCCAAGCCAAGCTTCAAAACAAACGGCCCAGGCGTAGGCTCAGGGTCTCGAGCTAGGCTTGAGCCCGTGCCTGGCGGGGCCTAGTCGAGCGGGCCGCACTGGGCACAAGCAGGCTTCGGGTGGGTCACTAGCCGGCGGGCAAGATTTACACCCCTAACTATTATAAAACTGCTTTGTGGTTCCAATTTTGATACCTATCATTTATATCACAAACGATATTGATTCATTTTATGATGCCATTATTTAATACGTTGGTGTTTGATAATTAATTGGTTTTCTCTTCTTATATATGTTTTCAGTTATTGAAAACAACAAAACAAAAAAACAAAAAGACTACTATAAACTTGTTTGCTAAATTACTTTTGAAAACCATTGACGTTGATTCATCTTATGATACCATTATTTAAAACCTTGGTGTTTGATAATTAATTGGTTTTTCTCATCTTATGTTTTCAATTACTGAAAACAACAAAACAAAAAAAAAAAAAACAAAAAAACAAAAAGGCTACTACAATAAACTTGTTTACCAAATTACTTTTGTAAATTGTTGATGTTGATTCATCTCATAAATATCATTATTTAAAACCTCGGTGTTTGATAATTAATTGGTTTTCTCTTCTTATGTTTTCAATTACTAGAAACAACAAAACAGAAAAAACAAAAGATTACTACAATAAACTTGTTTGCCAAATTACTTTTGAAAACTGTTTTGACAAAATTGTCTCAAAATAATCAACTTTTTAGAAAATAACAAAAGTTGTTATTGAATTTTTGAAACTAATATATATAGGAAAATAAAAATGATATTAACGTAATAGAATACCACACAAAAGTAGATATCATTCTAATAAATGAAAATGGTTTCGATTTCATGAGAAGGAAACATTAAATTCACAAGTAAGACATAAAAGGGGCGCTGCTAATAGCCCCCCTTAACTTCTTTGTACTCTCATCTTTTTGGATCCCCACCAACCAATTTCAAAATTTGTTAAAATTCTTTAGACACCCAACTTAATACCAAACTAATTCTCAATCTTTCCAAACCCTGACCCTAGCTGCATACCACTCAACACCCAACAACCCCATCTCCGCCCAACCCCTCTCTACCTCCGATAGCCAACCCCAACCCCTACCTCACCCTCCATGCTACTTTTGGTCCCTCATCTATCCCATTCCCATCTAACACAGCCCCCTCTCACCCTTTATGCCACTTTTGGATACCACTGACAGAGATAGATAGATAGAGAAGGTGGGGTGTCGTAGCAGTGGAGGTTCACGGTGGTAGGGGATTGCAAGGGTGGGGGTTCATAGTGGTGGCTCATTGCGAGAGTAGGTTTGTGGTGGTGTCGCTAACGATTGAAAACATGGGGCTAGAGAAGGGTTGGGCCTAACATAAGGGGTTAGGGAAGGGTTTCGGGTGGCAACCGAAGTTAAGAAGGGGTAGGAATGGCGCCGAAGGGTAGGGAAGAGTGATTGAAGGTGATAGTCTGGTAATAGCAGGTAGTTGGGATAGGAGAGATTTGGATTAGGATTTGGATGTTACAAATGAGGATAAAAAGGAAATTTCATGAGAGTAGAATTGTAATAAAATGTTTTTTTTTTTGGAAGGATGGGAGATTCCAAGAAGTGTGGGTGCTATTAGCATAACCAAATCAAATCCTAATTCAACTAGGCTATTTGCTTACGAAGCACAAAAATAATAAAAGGAGATAGCAGATGGAGAACCGACACAAATAATAACAATGAAAAAGCAAATTTGAATATTTTGTTTTTGATAACTAAATATCTGGACCAGCTTATGCGCATCTCAACTAACTTCGAAAGACTAATTCCATTGCCTACTTGCGTAGTGGGCAGGAATCCCATTTAAAGTTAGAGCAAATGTCTTTTGTTTTTTTTTTATCAACATAATAAATTTTTTATTGATGAGATCAAAAAGGTCCAGAAGATACATCAATAAAAGATCAATGGGAAGGAGTTATATGGAGTTTACCGAGTATCCCAACTAGATTGACACCCTCGAGAGTTAAAAACGACCGGCCCAAGGAGAACACTAGGTGAAGGGATGGTAAGATACCAACCGAACAACAAAGAACAGAGTAAGGTGATGACAAAACAGTAACATCAAACAACTACACTGACTCTTTTTCCGTTTGATCTGCCGCACTTCTTGAATGTGAAGAATGAAATCATCAATAGAGAAGCCTACAGAACCAGATGAAGTCTTTGCCCGTAACTTGTTTATTAGACCAAGAAAATTTCCTTCCAATTTGTGAAGATTATGATATCATGCATGCCACTACTTGATCATAGTCATCCTTTGGAGTTACCAATTTCAGATACTTCATCAAAATCACTACCAATAATCCATGGAGAGGGAAACATGTGTTTCAAAAATAGGAGCTCATTCCAGGGCAAGGCTCTGACACTGACAATATTTGGACCATAGCAATTAACTAAAGAGGAAATATCATTTTGCCCTCCAAACTATTACGCATTTTTCAATTTGACCTCCGTATTTCGATTTATTTCAATTCAGTACTTGGACTTTCAACAAATTGATCAATTTAACTCTTGCCGTCACATTCCCTCTACAATTGGATGAAATGTGCTGACATGATACCAAAATTCATTTGGAATTTCATTTTATCCCCCCAAACTATACCTTAAAAATCAAGGGAGATTTATTAGAAAATCCTTTTTCAAATGTTTGTATTCCAATTAGTCCATAAGATATTCTTGTATTCCAATAAATCCTATTATTTAAACATTTGATCTACCAAATCTTAATTTTCATATTTAAAGCATTTTATGGACATTTCTATCATTATAAATATTTTTTGAACGGTTAGTAATTTGGTAAGGTGAACATTCATAATTTACAATATGAATATTCACATTAACGTGTGAATGTTCACATTGATAGTGTAAATATTTGCATTGATGGTGTGAACATTCACATTGACGATGTAAACATTCACATCATGGAACATTCACACTGTAAATGTGAATATTATGAGGGGTATTTTGGTAACTATGTCACTTATAGGACTTGTTGAAATATAAGAAAATAATGTGGACTAAATGGAACACAAGTAGGTGAAAAGAGATTTATGAAAAAGTATCCCAAAAATCAATTTGTCTCCCAAATATAAAAAAAAATTAAATTTAAATATTTAATAAATAATTGTTTATCTCAATAATGAAAAAAAATTTTTTGTTCAAAGATTTCGAGAAACTCCTCAACTAATTGTCCTACATTTGATACGCAAATGATTTGTTTTTGAACTTATTTTTGTTGTTTTTCCCAAAACACAACACACACACAAACGAAAAGGCCTGAGATTCCAGAAGCAGATGAGGTTGTTTTTTTATCTGATTTTTATTTGGAATAAAATGTTGAATATATCATGGTTTTGTGTATTATGTTCACTTGCTCAAGTTTTCATAATCCAGAGAAACTTTCTTCCAGTAGAAGAGATAGGACACATTGTGCAGATTGAAGGTATTGTAGGGGAAATTCCAGCAGATTTTCCAGAGGGTGTTTACATAAGAAATGGTATGCATTTTAATTACTTATTATTTATTACAGGAAATTACACTGACCTCTCTCCTGATATTTAAAAAAAATAGAATAAGTTTCATAAATTTTGCATAAGATTAGGAAAAATGATATGTAAGTTTATTTTCTAAATCGACTTCTTAGACATGATAGTGTGTAAGTAAGATGATTAGTTGATAATTAATAGAGACATGAGAAAGAGAGTTGATTTAAATATTATAAAATAATGTCACATCATTGGTTGGTTGGTCTTAGGGCGCCACGTGACTATGCAGCAGCACATCAATCACAATCGATCATGCTCCTTCGTGTTTCTTAATCATCCAACATAAATTTTTAAGCCCTATCTCCTCCAATAATCACAACACCATTCGGGCACCACGACCAACCAATAACTTCTCTTGAAAGTGGGTTTAAGTTTTTGGTCTAGCATCACCATTACTTTCTTAAAATTTAAATTAATATTACATTTAGCTCTTTTCATTATAAATTTATTAGTCATATAAATGAAAATTTTATTAGGAAATTGTAAGTTTTTTTGTTATTCGGAAATTATTAAAAAAAAAACTCCAAGATTTGACCATGGTAAAAAAAAAAAAAAAATATTGAGTTTTCAATTTTGTCAATTAAATCGTAATTTTTTAAAATTTATTTTCAATCTAAATTATTCACCTATTTTCGTCAAATAAAACGGATGGGAAAAGTATTTTTTAACTACTAAACTCAATGCAGTATACATAAAATGTATAAAATATTATTTTTTATTCAATTTAGGATAAATTACAAATACACTCCCTGAGATTTGCTTAAAATACAGATTGCCCCCTGTGATTTGAAAAATTACAAATACCCTCTTATTAAATTTTTTTATTTAACAGAATTAACTAAAAAAAAATAAAATTCATAATTGCTCTCCTACATAATAATATTAATTGAAACATATTTTTAATATCATTAAAAACTGTTAATTGACTTGATGATTTATTAATAAAAAGGGTGATTTGTTATGAAATTAAAAATCTCAGGAGATGAAATGTAATTTTCAAAATCACAGGGGACGATTCGTATTTTAATCAAATTTCAATGGATGTATTTGTAATTTACCCTTGAATTTAATAACTAAAACACTTTTTTTTTTTTTTCATTAGTTTTACTTAATGAAAATAAATCAATGTTGACATTAAAAATAAATCAAAAGCATAGGATTTAAATTGAGAAAAATTAAAAACTTTGAGTTTATTTTGTTACAATGGTTAAATTATGAGATTTTTTTTTTATAATTTTTTTCCAAAAATATAGATGAAAAAAATAATCTTTTCATCTATTTTATATTATATATATATATATATATATATTTATACATTTCATTTTTTTAACCCTAGTAAACTATTTATTAATTTTTTTTAATAAACGGTTTTTAGTTCTTTCAATATTCGATCAATTTGATTTTTTACAAGTATGATGTACGTAACAAATTCTTAAATATGAACGGTTCAGATCATCGATGTGAGCTTCGTGGTGGGCCCACGAAGGCCCAACGGGACACTCCAATTGGAAAACCCAACTTGAGACAAGTTGCTCTCTATTAATAAATCATGAAATTAATTAATAATTTTTAATAATGTTAGAAATTTATTTTAATTAATAATTCAAGTAATTTTATTATCATTGTATAGGAGAGTAGTTAGAAATTTTATTTTTTCAGTTATTTCTATTAAATAAAAAATTCTGATAAAAATGTATTTGTAATTTTTTTCAATCAATCTGTATTTTAAATAAATTTTAAAATTGAATTTATAATTTATCCTAATTTTAAAGTGTATTATTTATACCTAAGAATGTGATCTATCATTGTAGCAGTCATAAATGTTATCAGTCATAAATGTTAATTGATTGTAATTGAATATTAATTTATTTACTTTCCTTCATCCGAAGCAAAAACTTGTCACTATTAGATAATAAGCTCACTTATTAAGATTTATATGTAAGTATCTCTTAATTTTTTAATTTATTTTATCTTTTTGTAATTATTTTAATTAAAAACTCTCAACTTTTTATGCCAAGCGAGGGAAGTACATAACATTGCTCCAATGACCTTTTATTAAAAAAAATAAAATTGGGCAACGAGAACAATATGATAAAAGACCTAAGTAAAAGGACATATTATTTTATTTTATTTTTAAAATTGTGTCAAACTCTTTTTTACCTTTTAGGTTGTTCTAATGTAAAACAATCTGAAAAGTAAATTAAAATTAAAAAAAAAAACTAATAAAGGTAACATTTTTACGTTTAGTTTTTTTTTTTAAATTTTTTTTTGAAATTTTTTTTATGGACTTCTTTTTTTTTTTCTCTCTTTTTTTTAATCATTTTTTTTATACTTTATTAGTCCATCTATTTGAGTAGAACCTAAAAATGTAAATCTTTTTAAAAATTAAAAAAACCATTAAATACAGTAAAAAAAATTATTAAAAAAAAATCAATCCCAGACACACCATAATTGGCCATGAGATATGGTAGAACTCAATTTGACATGTGTGTTACAGAGAAGAATAATATTATACAAACTAACAAAATCTTATAATTTTTATTTTATTTGTTGACATAGAACTTATCATATTATTAAAATAAATTATATTTCAGAATCTAAAATTTCATTATTATTTGTTACATTAATTTGAAAAATTATTAATTCATCTAACATTTTTCTCTATAGAAATATGTTGCCCCATAAAAAGCATCCTACTTTAAATGGAAAGGAAAAAAATTAAAAATAAATGAATAAATTATCTTTGATTTGGTTTTGGTTTTGGTTTTGCTTAAAGATTACTTATACATAGCCTAAGGGTGGATTAAAATCGGACTGGGCTAGGTTTAGACTAGGCTTGCACAATTTAGTAAGAGTATACGTGTCGTTCCAAATTCGACCCGACCAAACATCAAGCCTAATCGAATTAACCCAAGCTCGTTCCTAAGAGAAAATTTAAATTCCAAATCTGTTCACTTAACCCAATAAATATGGGTTATTAATTTTTTTTTTGATGGAGTATAAAAATATTTAAATTAAGTGACCTACTTAGTCGTCTTATGCACTTTGTATTTGGAATAGTTCAAAATAAGGCTATTTAGGCAAGACCAATGTGCTCATCTTGAAAGCAGGCCTTTTCGGGTACTGTGCTCTGAAAAAAAAAAAAAAAAAAAAAAAAAAAAACGCCCCTTGGAAATATACAGACCAGACCGAACTGGACTAAAGTTCTTTATCTCAAGCTCAACTCAAAAATTAAATGTATACAAAATCTTAACTCAACCCCAACCCATGGCCACTCCTAAGCGCATCTCCAAGAGGATAATTAAAAAAAGTTTGTTAGGCATTTTATTCAATATAAGTCTAATTTTGATCTCTAATGGGCTAGCTACTTTACTATCTTATTTTTTTTGTGGCTACAATTGAAGAGCCCCAGAGGCTCTCTAAACAATTATGTATGTATATATTTTAGATTTTTGTATATTTATGTCTTGGATTTGGGATTTTATATATTTTATATATATATATATATATATTTGTGTGTATGTAGCAATTTTATATGTTCTTTCAATTCTGTTTGATGAATTACGGAATAACTTATTTTGTATTTTGTATTTTTTTCCTCCTCATTCTACAGGTTTTGTATGTTTGTATGGAAAAATTTATTATTATTGCAAATTTATATTAGTAAAATATCAACAATTAGTATTTTTTTATTTTAAAAATTAATTAAGTTAGTTTAAATGATTAGTTAAAATAAAGAGAGTGGTTGGAGAATACAATAGCTAAAGTAATTAGGTAAAATAAATAGTGTATTTTTTTTTTATATTTTAGCTAGTAAAAAGTAGAGAGTGTGGTTGGAGTTGCTCTAATTTAACAGTACTATTACGGTGACATTTTTATGTTTGGTACATTTTCTTTCAAACACTAAATATAATTAGTGTTTAAAAAATAAAACAAATAAACATAGTTATGTAAACATATACATATTTTAAAATATAAAACAATTTAAATAAACATATTTTAATATCTATATATTTTATTTAAATATAAATTTTAATATATTTTCCGAAGTTTAATTATTTACTCGACAATTCAACCAATAACTATCAATCTATTTATTTTTTTAGCAATCATTCAAGTTTCAGAATATTATTTTTAAATTTTAATCGTCCAGTTTGCTTTATGAAACCCACCATGGGTCCATCTTGACAATTGAAATCAGAGAAATGCTATATACTCCAAATATTTTATTAAATATTCTATCAAATCTCTCATATGGGGTGATACTTACACAATTTACATGTGTGTGAGTCCCACACCGATGTGAGAGGTTTAGTAAAATATTTGATAGAATATTTGAGATCTCTAGCATAACTCTGGGAACTATTCATTTTGTAAAATTTTTTGAGTATATCATCGATATCAAAAATTAGATTGATTGGATCTCATTTGTACGCAAAATAGACGAAAAAAAAAGACCAGCTAGAATAAAAATTACGGTGTCCATTTATTATTTTTTAAATAAATGTGATTTCATCATGTGACTCATGCTGTCCATCCAATTTGATTTTTGACAAGGATAATCTACTTAGCAGGTCCTACAAATTGATATACTAAAATTATCGAGATAGGTCCAAAATAGGCTCAAGTGGAGAAGGGTACTGTTGTGTCTTAAGGAACAATAGCTACTGTTGTGCCTTTTGTGGGAGATTCTCCTAAGTATTTTTTGATAATTTGAACCGTTTATATTATAAGGTTTATCAAGTAGATCATCCGCACAAAAAATCAAGTTGATTGGATATCTGTAACCTTATAACCAAAGCACATTTGTTTCTATAAAAATTAACAGTTAACATAACTTTCATAAATTTTTAAAAACAATTAGGACCTAATCATGGAGTTTTGAATGTCTGATTAACTTGATTTTTTACATTAGTAATATTCTTGACGAACCCTACATTATAACGGTTCAGATCATTCAAAAATACTTAAAAAGACCTCCCACAAAGGGGCAATAAGTAACTGTTGTGTCTTTCGGCACAACAGTATCCCTTCTCGGCTCAAGTTAACCGGACTAGATCGTGCACTTCAATTCCCCTTTTGGAACTCGGAAGGTATAAACTGAGGATGTGTTGGATAGTTACTGAAAGAAGCTTAAATTTGTGGTGTAAACTTACAAATACAGGTGCCAATCCTCTGTGGGGGGGCTTAAAATCAGCAATTTCTGTGTTTGGAAGATCAAACCATGTGTGGATAGAAGGAGAAGGAATGCTTCATGCCTTGTATTTCACTAAAGACACCAATGGAAATTGGAGCTTTTCATACAACAATAGATTTGTGGAGTCACAGACATTCAAGATGGAGAAGCAAAGGAACAAACCATCTTCCCTTCCAGCTTTGGAAGGAGATTCACCTGCTATTTTAGCTGCTTTTCTGCTAAATGCGGTCTGTAATTTCTTCTTCTATATTAAAGTGCAACTAAATTATAGTAACTTCTCATAAGGTTTAAAAAAGGAGATGGTTTCTCTCCAGTTTACATAGTGAGCGTATTGTTAGATTCATGGGATCATCATGGATCCTATTTCGATAATCTGAACCGTTAATATGTAGAGCTCATCGAGTATTTTATACCTGCAAAAAATCATGTTGATCAGATATCGGTAGCCCCTTGATCGGCACACATTTTTTGTTAATAATTTATTTTTCAAATCATATTTACCATTGATAAAAATGTGTTCCGATCAAAGGGCTACCAATATTCTATCAACGTGATTTTTTATATACATAAAATACTTGACGAGCTCTACACATTCAACGGTTTGAATTATCGAAACGAGACCTATGATGAATCCCAAAGACCTAATAATACGCTTCAATCTACTATATAAATTGAAGAGAAGCCACTCCTTTTAAAAAAATAATTGAACTTGTCCCCTTTATGCTAAATCCGTAAGTCCACCATGAAATATATTTTAATGATTAAATCCGTTGATGTTTTGCAACTCAGTGGATAGTTCTTCAGGAAACAAATTATATTGTTTCTATAATTATAATAATTACAGTCACAATTATCACATATGTCTTTATAAAAATAAATAACAAATATAATTGTAAAACATACTATTTATGTGGAAAATAGACCGTTAATCTCTTTTTTTTGTCTTTTCTTTTTCATAATGATGTTTTACGCGTCACTACAAAAATTAATGAATCAAATTATCGTGGCCAAACTCTCCCTACCATCCTAAACACCATTCTCATCCTCCCCTCTCCCCATTTGCCCGTTTCTACCCCATTCTCTTAGGGCATAGTTGGTAAGTAAGATTATAATATAGGGTAAGAATTAATAGTTTATAGATTCACAATCCTATATTTCATTGTAAATTTTATTAAACGAATTATATGTACAACAAATGTTTAATTTGACAAAATTGACGAATTTTTAATATTGAGACAAGTTGGGGATCATAATTTTCAGTATGAATGAAAAATAATAAAATAAATACATGATAATTGGTTATCTTATTAGTTTAATTAGACAACTAATTCTACACTAATTCATAGAATTATTAATAATTGGGCAAATTGCAATAGTAGTCACTATACTTTGTTCTTTGTGTCATTTTGGTCCCTGTAATTTCAATTGGTTCGATTTTGACTATAAATTTATAATTTTGTTTCAATTTGGTCCAATTAATTACAACTCTTAACATTTTTAATGAAAAATTTACATATAAGTGGCATGGGTCATATTTTTTTAGAGTAAAATTATAAATTTACTAAACTCAATGAGTTTTACTCAACAAATTCAGTAATTATTATTCGTCAAAATAACTAATTAGGAACCATTAACGTAATTTATCCTTAATCATATTACTATTAATTTTGTTAATCAAGCTATATACCTTGATCTACTCAGACTTTCCTTACCAGTTATCGCTGCTTGGCAATCTAAACGACTCACGGGCATTTTGGCAAACTGGTTAAAAACCAGTTTTTTTTTTACTTTTTTTAGTCGCATTATCTCTTTAATTTTTTATATATTTAAAAAAAAAAAATCAAAAAATCAATTTTTAATTAACTTTCTAAAACAACCCTTAAAGTTAAAACAACTACCCAAATCCCTCCAGTACCTTCTCGGCGTGACACCACATCCTACTGAAATATTATTTAACTATAAAAGAACATCCTATTAAAATTCAATTTTCAGTCATATAGAGGATTGGGTCAATCCTATCTTTGAGAGTAGCACCGACAGATTGTTGTCTCAGTTTTATTATTATTATTATTATTTTGCAGTTTAGATTTGGATATGTAAATAAAATCCTTAGCAACACAAATGTTTTTGAGCATGGGGGCAAGTATTACTCTATTGCCGAGAACTACTTAGCTCAAGAAATCGACATTTCTTCTCTTTCAACTTTTGATGATTGGGATCTTTGTGGAGCTTGGTGCCGACCTTTTACAAGCCATCCAAAGGTTAAGTTCTTTTAATGTGTTCAAAACTACAAATATCTATACATATATATGTACACTTTGACCTTAAATTTAAGAAAACAACCCAAATTCTTGTATACAGAAAGCACCAGGAAGTGGGGAATTAGTTATTATGGGGGTTGATGCAGTGAAACCATATTATGTTGTGGGAGTTGTCTCAGGTATGAAAATTTTTCGATTTTTATTTCAGGGAATATGATAAATTGAAAATAGGCGAAATAATGATAAATTAATAGCAAGACATATGCCCAATGAAAGTGAAAATGGTGCAAAAATAACATAGTTCCCACTTATATTATATTAATTTACAATTATTGTTTTAGTTTACCAATTATTTGATATCCCCTTTTAATTTCATGTGTTTTATTTTCCTGGTACACTTAATTGTGTAAGAAATTTTATGTAAGTGGGTCTAAATAGATCAAATAATTATAGATTGCATATTATTGAATAATATACAAGTGGTGTCAGTTAGACCCATTAAATTATGATTCATATAAAAATATGACTGAGTCATGGACATATTTATAATTACATATATTTTGATCATGCTTTGTGTATTAAAGAAGTATGGGTTGAACCATATGTGTAGAAATTAGGCGTGGTTATTCAGCGGGCCAGGCCGGACTCACACTACCTAAGTAAGGGACTTTGTATTGTCCCAGTTCGTCAAGCTCGAATATCAGGTCTAGATGATCAATCCAAGCCTAACCCTAAATAAATTATAATTTTCAAACCTATCCATCGAGCCATATACATAAACTATTTAAAAAATAAAATTAAATTAAACGTCATACATGTTATTTTCTCATAAATAGACAAAGGCACTGGCAACCCTCAATTGTTGATTATCAAATATGACTGGAGAAAATTCAATACAATGGCTTCATGCCATAAGTATTCTGCTCCCAAATAAAGTAGAATTTTTTTTTTAAGTAAATAAAAATAAGTATAGATTAGAAGATGAATTTAGTAAATAACTCCTGGAATTTCACTTGAGGTTCTCTAATTTAACCATTATTACCCTTATTATTTTCATTTTACCCATTACATTATCACTATTACCATCACCATCTTGTCATTGTCACAATCGCAGAGTCTAACTTGACCATCAAGGGGTGTTTTGGGAAGTTGGTAAAAAGCTGACTTTTTGGCTTTTTGACTTTTTTAGTGGCTTTTTGGCAAAAAGTTGGGTTGTTTTGGGTAAAAAAGTTGGCTTTTTTTGCTAAAAAAGCTAAAAAGCCAACTTTTTGGCTTTTTACCATTGTTCCCAAAAGAGCCCAAACTCTAATGGGCCAATAATAAAAAGGTATATATATTTTTAATATATTATATAAATAAATAAATTAATTAAGTGAAATATGTAGTGGGCCGGGTCGGGTTGAACCAGGCCAGAAGTATATTTTACATACCCAGCCGATTAATCAATCAGGCATTTGGCAAGTTGGGTTGGGGCTAAAATAGCCACAAAAGACAAAACAAGCTATTTTAGCCACAACAAACAAAACATCACATCTAACCCATAATCATTACACTCTTCTCTCACAAAAAAAGTCAAAAAAGCCAAAAAGCCAAAAAGCTCTTCCCAAACCAAGCTTTTTAGCCCAGGCTAAAATAGCCAAAAAAGCCAAAAAGCCAAAAAGTCAACCCACTTCCCAAACGGAGGCTAATTTAGTCTAATCCTATGAACTAAAATAATATTCTCAAGCCTTAAGAAAATAGGGTTGGACTGGGCGGGTCAACAGACCGATGCCCACCCCTAATAGAGACTAGTTTAGGCCCACTTATAATTCAATTTATTAATGATGGGCTAATATTGACTTGGGGCATTTATATATATGTAGTTAAGGTTCCCACTTTAATCCTAATCTCCGTCTCATATTTTTGTATTTGTATGCGAGAGAAAATAAGAGTGGGATTCTAGAGAAAAAGACTATAATCACCAAGAAATCTACTACTTGAATTACCTCTATCAATAGCATCAATTACACAACCGTTATTATTTTTTTTCTATTGATTCAACTTGAAACCTTTAGATTTAGATTACTATTGAAATCTCACAAATTGACCGTGGCCCTTGTTTCTTTATTTTTTTATATTTATTTTTTGGTTTTGGTGCTTGCGCGTGATTTGGTTATAGTTGGGAAAAGTATTACTAGGCCTTGATGTCAATTGCAACGTGTTTTTTGTTTTTTCCAACTCTTTTGAAATTAAGCTTTGTTTTGATGATTATCAATACATTTATTTTTCCGATTTAAAAAAAAAAAAAAAAAACTGACTTGTTCATATGTTGGGTTTCCATTAGCTGATGGAAAGAAACTAATTCATAAGGTTGATGTCAAACTGGAAAGGAGTACTTTTGCTCATGACATTGGAGTCACTCAGAAGTAAGTTTCTACTTCCTTTTTCTTTTTGCATTAAGTACCTCCTCATTTTGTGGTGAGAGATCACACTAATGTTAATATTAATAAGGTTGACATGGCAATGAAATTGTTTTAATATTACAAACCATAATCTTAAGGGGAGTTCATGGGTTCCACACCTATGAGTGGAATAGAGAGTAAGACTTAAGTGCATGCAAGGAGAGGGTGGGATCAAAGTGTTAATCTAACAACTAATTATTAATTTTCACAGATCCAAAAAACAAAAACAAAAAAAAAAAGAAAAAATTATAAACTGATGGTACAACGGGTTCCAGATGGAACGGGTCGGACTGATCCACGCTTCCCACACCAGTATCCGAGGTACCAAGCCCACAAAGAAACCTGCACAAGAGTTCAACGGGGAACGGGGAGTCTCCCAGTGAACCCTCCGATGGGGAAGTTAGGAGGAGAGATGGAATGTAGAGATAGATTAGAGATAAAAAGCTTAATCTTCTTCTTGTCTTCGACGTCTGCTTATATCCTTTGGTAATCATTTCGTTATCCCTTCCGACTTGTTATCTTGGCCGAAAGTCTATGCTCTAGCTTGCCTTGTTCATGGTGAGGCCGTTCTGTCTCGACGGGGAGGAGTTATTGCAATAAATGCTGTAAAGGACTTCATTAATGGTTGATGTACAGTGCAATGATTTTGCAGGATATTTGTCTGCTTATGTGGCTTGTCCTTCTCTTGCCACGTGTTTAGATGTCATTGGTTCTTAATGCCATGTTGAGCTCCAGCAACACTAGGCTTTAGTATTTGAATTATGGATTGGGCCCTAAGTGGTGGGCTATAACTTTTATGGGCTTACCCATGTCAGTAGTCCTCCATTCCCAAGTGCAGCTTTAGTCCAACGGAGGGAATAATGAAGAAAACGATGGTTGTGAAAGATCGAGGGGGTGAAGACCGATTGATAGGTGGGCCAACGGTGATGGGTGGCCAAATGGAGGGACCGACCCTGAGGAGAGGCGATCGCGAAGGGTGACCGAGTGGAGGGACCGATCATGAAGAGGCCCGACCACGAAGGTTGATCGAGTGAAGGGACCGACCATGAGTAGGGTCGACCGCGAAAGGTGACCGAGTGGAGGGACCGACCATGAATAGGGCCGACTGCGAAAGGTGACAGAGTGGAGGGGCAAATGGTGGTGCGCGTGGCTCGAGGAGTGGTTGGGCACGTGATGATTTGAAGTGGAAAAGACAGGGTAAGGGAAGGGGGCAGTGGATCGTGGTCATGCACGTGACGGAATCCCGTGATGGGGAAGGTTAGGCGTTTAAGCAAGAAATGAAACGATAGGTTAATATAGGGTGTTGAAAAGACAGTTTTGGTGGATTTTTGAAAATTTTCAAACTGGCGAAATTTAATTGTGACCCTTGGAATATAGGCAAGCCTTGGGCTTTTGGTATTATCCGTTTTACCTATCTTTTTGCCAAAAATCAAAATGTCCCAGAAGTAAACTCGTTTGTTGCCAGTGATACGCTCCTGCAACACTTTGTGAACTTTCTTGTGCCCGCATCTGAAGCCATTCGCAGACACACAAGAGAGATGGCCCAAGAGGAAACAACAACCGCAAGGCTTGATGCATTAGGCGACGATGATGCGGTGGAGTTGGCGGAACAGTACCGTGCCAAGCGGAGGGAAGGAGGGGTAATTGGTGAGGCGGTGCGGGCTCGCCCAAGGACAATGATTACAGCCGCGAGACCTATTAGTCAAGTAGAGCTGGACCACTGGCACACCAAACCGGACAGATCCATACTTACAGCAGAGGAGTTGGAGGGAATAAGGAGGAAGTACCAAATTCCCTCGGAGATAGGGTTAAGGTTGCCCACATCCAAGGAAAGGGCGTCAGATGTGCGGTCGGATGAATTCAATCTGTACGAGGAAGCGTTGCAAGGAGGTTTGAGGCTACCTCTCCCCCAAATAGTGGTGGATGTGCTAAACAAATTAGAAGCGGCGCCAAGGCAGCTGATGCCGAACGCCTGGAAGATAGTAATGGCCTGCGTGAGTGCCTGGCAGTAGGCGACTGGAGGGACGGCAATGAAAGTAGAGGAGTTCTTTCGGTCAGCAGGAGACTTGGGTGACTCTGCAAGTAGTGGCGAGGCGAGGTCTGGTGGCGGGTTTTTCATCTTCGGTAAAGGGATGGAGGCCGAGATGGTTCTTTGTGACGGCGAACGGTGGGACAGGAGTTCGCACAACGTGGAAGGTCCCTACCAAATTAGTTGAGCCCAAGTTGGACGGGGCGGCCGAGGACCGGGTGAAGAGGGTGAGGGAATGGAGAGAAGAAAAGGGAGTGAGGTAGGACGAGCTGGTCCTTTCTTTAACGTTGTTTGCCCTAAACTTGGGACCGCAACCGTTGAGGGAGGATTCGGCAAGGGAGGAGTTGGAGGTGCAGAAGAAGGCGGGAGAGGAGGAGGAGGAGAGGAGATTGTTCGCCAGGGCGGGCAAGTATAAAGAGGCAAAGTTGGGGCCTGCTTTGAAACCGACTGTAAGGGAGCGAGACCGACTGTAAGGGAGCGAGTCCGACCCAAGCCGCTGGGGGAGAAAGATCTGAGTGGCTTTGAGCCACGACCACCTCCAGTCGATCCTCTGAAGAAGAAGAGCAAAAAAGAGTTGGAGGCTGTGTCGAAGAAGAGGAAAAGAGTAAGAGAGAGAGAGGAGGGGCCAGCCTTGAAGAGAACAAAGGAGGTGATGGCAGAGGAGACCCCCGAAGTGGGACTGGAGGAGGCGGCGAAGGAGATGGAGAGTGGGGCGACTGTCCTTGAAAAACCAGTGGAGGGTGGGGTGACTGGCCCTGAGGAGGGGGAAGAGCAGCAGCTTAAGGGGGGTCCTGCACCCCAAGGAGAAAGGGAGAGGGCAAGGTTGAAAACCGCCATTTACCATGCCTCAGCAGTGTCTGGGCGATTGGAAGGAGAAGGAGGTGAGGCTAGGACTGATGCATATCGCCTCTTGGGAGTGGTAGAGGACGTGGCCGTGCGTTCGATGGCTAGTTTTACTGAGGCCAAATTGCTAAGGGGGTTGTGCTTTGCCCAAATGGAGGTGACTGCCTTAGCAGGGGCCCTACTGAACAAGGCGACGGTCGCAAAAGATGAAGTGAGGTCATTGAAGGCAAAGTTGGAGGAGGTGGAGGCCTAACTTGAGAGTTTAAGGAAGGAGATCGCAGGTTGGAGGAAGACTGCGCAGAGTGCGTGTGTTAGCGGGCTGGAAGAGGCTCAGAAGGCTAAGAAAATGGAGGCGTTAGCGATGGTGCAGAGCTATTCCATCGACCGTGCCAGTGTTAAGCTGCTCGCAACCAAGTTAGAGCTAGAGACAGCGCGCTGCAAGGTGGTGTCGCTCGAGTTCCAGTTGGCGGGCGAGCAGAAGAAGCTGGTAGAGGCCCAGAAAGCCTGCACCGTCGCCAACGAACGGTGGGATGAGGCCATGACCTGCAACGAAGATCTGCACGCTCAGTCAATCAAAGAAAAAGAAGAAGCAGATCTGAAGATCGCTGAGCTGGAGAGGGTGCTGGCAGACGAGTGGGCCAAGTCAGTGGCGGAGAAGGCGGGGTTGGAGAAGGCCTTGGAGGAAGAAAAGGCCAAGTTGGCATTTGAAATGGCGGCATACCCCGACCTATGTATTGCAGCAGTAGAGCAGTTCAAGGGGTCCGTTGACTTTCAGATGGCCATTGATGCCACGATTGCCAGCAGCTTGGTGAGAGAGGGGGATAGGGGGGCTGGCCCGTCGACAGTGACCGCTGGGAGCCGGAGCGAAGAGGAAGTGATCCAGAGCTTCTAGCGGTCGGACTTCTACAAGCATGAGATGGCTGAGTTTTGGGACAGCGGCTTGAAAACTTTCAAGCGTAAAGCAGAAGAGCTATTCCCAGACTTGGACTTCAGCAATGTGAGGATAGACGAAGATGACGTGGCCCAGACCCCCCTAGACGAGGGTGTTGAAGAAAAAGACCTCGCGTCAAGCGAGGATGAATGATTGGTTTGAATAAAATTTGTAAAGAAAATTTTGGTTGTTGCTGTTTTGTTTTGTTGTTGTTGTTTTTGCTTGTAATTTCTGTAGTGAAATATGTATAAGTTTGTGATTAAATAAATTTATGTGTTGTGTTTTTCATACTGTTGTCTTTATCTCTTGTAGATCTGTGAGAATGTTAAAAAATGTGAAGTGTTGAATCACGACCCAGCAGGGAGCCATTCTAACTTGTAAAATGTTGAAATGTAAAGGTCTTAAAATGTGAAGTTTTAAGGCATGTTGTAAGAGTGTTGAGAAATGAAAGACTGGGTTGGGAAATGAAAATTAAAAAATGTAAAGAATGTTGAGAGGCGTAAAAGCATGGTCTTGAAATTTGACTAAGTATGGCGACTATGCCACAAACATGAAGTTGCAAGAGTGGCCTTGGCCGAGCTCTTCATGCTCAGTCTGGCTGAGGCTTTAAGTAACTCAGGCTGGCTGAGCTCTTCATGCTCAGTCTGGCTGAGGCTTTAAGTAATTCAGTTTGCCTGAGCTCTTCATGCTCAGTCTGGCTGAGGCTTTAGGCAAGGCGTTATTGAAATACCACACAGATAACTAAGATATAAGATTGTTGTCATTTAAAGTGTAGCCCATTGATCACAAATTTACACCATGTGAGAAAAGAACAAAAACATCCCAGTGTGTAGATTGTCAAAAAGGAAAATACAGCAATTGATCAATACAAAAATAGGGCTTTATTGAAAATAACGCTTCAAGTGCTCGGCGTTCCACGGATGGGGAAGATCTCGACCTTCCATGTCCTGAAGTCAATAAGTGCCCAGACGAGGTCTGCCTTATCAACGTAAGGTCCCTCCCACTTGGCTGCCAGCTTGCCCTCAGCCGGATTTTTGGTGGCCAGAGTTGCTTCGCGCAAAACAAGGTCCCCCACGGTGAACTCCCTCGGTCGGACTTTGCGGTTGTAGTGTGTTCTCATTTTCTGTTGATATGAGGCTCGTCTGACGGTAGTGGTCTCTC